ATGCATGCATCATAAGCACAAATAAAAATTAAAGAGACTAATTTGATTAAATTCAAAACATGAAAGACTGATATGATTAAGTTCAAAAAAAGCATGGAGGACTGATTTAAAAAGACTTGAAACCTTAGGACTGAATTGCTTAATTATAAAATTTTTGAGTGAAATTGAGATAAAATAAAAGATAACTTTCACTTTAACCAAAATTAAAGAAAATTACGAATTGAAATTAATTAATCAAGATAATTAATTTAATTGAATAATTAATTTAACATTAATTAAAATTAATTAAAATTAATTAATCACATTTATTAGTCATTAATTGAAATAATCAAATAAATTTAATTATCTCAAACTCAATTCAATAAATATAATTAATTATTTTAATTAAGATCAATTAACTTTATTAATCATAAATTAAATTAACTTACTTAATTACTTAATAAAATTTATATATATATTACTATTTTAACCTTTTTAGTTTTTTTTTTTTTATATAATTAATCTATTGGACTGGGTCGGGTACACGACCCACAAACATAATCCGAGTGAGAAAATAGGCAAAGAAGGATTAAAACATGCAGACAAAACCAGAAAACTAGAGTTCATCGGATTCCAAACAAAGTTCCTCCAGAATATACATCCAATCCCAAAGAAAAAACAACCAACAGAAAAACAAAATAAAAATACATTCATCAGATAAAGACGAACCAGACAATTTCTTTTGGCTTTTCATTCATTTTTCAAGAAACACATTCAATCTTAACATCAGATAAAAAAAAAATAAACACCCACAGGAAAACAAACACGACGAATTTTTGAAAGAAAAACGGATCTGGATCTGATGGAAGGGATCCCACCCCCGGGATCAAGCTTCCACCATCTCTTTCACCATTTTCCTAACAAAAATTCTCTATTCAGAGGTATACCTAAAGATAGCCACTCTAGAAAATGGAATCCCTCTTGCAACCTTGACAATCTCCTCTCACAAAACAGGCTCCCTCTAGCAGAAAAAATCCCCTTTTCTCTATCGTCACTCCTTCCAAAAAAAGAACCCAAAATCAACTAGAAAATCCTCCTCTTTACTTTGCTTTTTGCTTTATATATACCCAAATAACAAAAATAAAAAAAATGAAATAAATAAAGAAAAGTCTTGCTCTGTCAATCACTAATGATGCCAATTTTGTCTGGTATTGCTGTTTTTTTCTGTAGGTGAGGCAGGGGCATGGCTGTAGTGAGCAGGAGTGCAGAGGCGAGGGATTGGGGCGCAGAGTGCAGGAAGGCAGGCTCGGTGCAACAGCAGGGACATAGGCTCGGTGCAGGAGGGATAGGGCACGATCTGCAGAGGGCATGATTGCCGGTAGTGGGGCGCAGAGGAGAAGGGTACAGGCTCGGTGCAGAGGGTGTATGATTGTCGATGATGCTGGCGTGCAAAGGGACATGATTGCCGGCAGTGGGTGGCGCAGACGTGAGGGGATCTGGGCGCAGAAGGTGAGGGGATCTGCTGCAGAGCAAGGCTCGGGATCTGGGCGTAGAGGTGAGGGGATCTAATGCAGCGTGTAGGAGGCAGGGACGCAGAGCAGGGGCGCTGGTTCGGGAGGGTGCTGAGCAAGGCCGGGCGTAGGAGCAGGGGCGGTAGTTCGGGAAGAAAAGGGAGAAGGTCGAGGTGAGGAGGAAGGAGAAGGTGCTGGAGAGCAAGCAAAAGATTTAACTTTTTTTTTTTTTCCTTTTTTTTTTTTGTTTTTGTTTTTGGGTTTGTTTGGGTTAAATGGGTTTTGGTTAGTTGGTGGGCTTGGTTTTTTTTTTTTTGGGTTTTTTGAGTTTTTGGGCTTTTGGGGTTGAGGCTTTAAATTGAAATGGGTTGATGTTGGGTTGGGTTTGGTTTTAATGGGCTAGATTTATAGCTTAAAGGATTTCATCCCCCAACTTTTGATTTCTTCAATTGAGTCCTTTCTTTCTTCTTCTCCCACTTTTTCATGAAATTTCCCTTTGCTTGCAAACCTAACAATGAAAGTAAAAAACAAACATATTAAGTAAGATAAAAACTAAAATAAAAATAAAAATTTCAATTTAAAAATTTTGAGTTATGACAATTGCTCTTCTTTTCTTTTCTTTTCTGTTAAGAATGAAAAGAAAAGAGAAGACAAAAATAATAGTTTCTTTTTTTTAACCAAGCAAGAAATGGTTTTTTAATATAGTAAGGAGTGGTTTTTTTTAACTGAACAAGAAATGGTTTTTTTAATTGAGTGAGAAACGGTTTTTTAACCAAGTAAGAAACGGTTTTTTAACTGAGCGAGAAATGATTTTTGAACCAAGCAAGAAACGGTTTTTTAACCGACTAAAGAGTGATTTTTTAACCGGGTAAAGAGTGATTTTTTAACCGAGCAAGAAATGGTTTTTGAACCAAGCAAGAAACGGTTTTTTAACCGAGCGAGAAATGATTTTTTAACTAAGAAAGAAACGGTTTTTTAACCAAGCGAGAAATGGTTTTTGAACCAAGCAAGAAATGGTTTTTGAACCAAGTAAGAAATGGTTTTTTAACCGAGTAAAAACAGTTTTTTTAACCGAGTGACTTGACTTGCTACGGTCAAACGACCGAACTAGTTTTGAGTGGCTACGGTCAAACGACCGAGCCAGTTGAGTAGAAACGGTTTTTTAACCGAGCAAGAAATGGTTTTTTAACCAAGTAAGAAACAGTTTTTTAATTGAGTGAGAAATGGTTTTTGAACCAAGCAAGCAACGGTTTTTTAACTGAGCGAGAAATGGTTTTTGAACCAAGCAAGAAACGATTTTTTAACCGAGCAAGAAATGGTTTTTGAACCAAGTAAAAAATGATTTTTTAACGGAGTGAGAACTGATTTTTTAAGCAAGTAAGAAACGGTTTTTTAATCGCAATGACTGAATGAGTTGATATTGAATGGTTTAAGGAGTGGACAAAAGTAATGTTTGAAAAATGTGGTGACAATGAAACAGATGTAAATGAGACAATTTTCACATATAAGATAAGGTGAAAATGAAAAGAGGTTAAGAAACTTCCCTAAACATGTTGGAAGTCCATATCTGGCGAGAGTCAAATGTGCTTTATGTTGCACATTCATCAACCTGTGATTATCTCTATGTAGCAGCTCAGTAAATTCATATTCATGAATACTCTATTGAATGCCAGAGGTAGGATCTCATTTGTTTCCCATGAGGAGATATTTGAAAATATTGCCCCAATGGGATGAACTTTCATTTGCTATTGGAGCTTCAACTAGCATGAATGACTCCTTGGTTATCGAATTCAGCTTCTTTTCTCCCTATAATTCTCATCCAACCTTTCAAATTCATCAAGAGATTTTGATTAGATAAGCAATTATATTAACTAAAATAGAGCCTCATGTCTAACTAGCATTCCCTATCTAAATAAAAAGGTAAGGCTGGAGCAAAATGCAAACAAAACGATAGCAAAGATTTATTTCATTGGATTCAAGCAATGGTCAGGATGATCAAAAGGTCAACTTTGAATAGCGACGAAAAGAAGTCTGGCCAATAATACAAGATTTTGATGCAACTGGTTACAAGATATTTAGACCATAAATCGTTGCTTTAGATCATCTTTTCTTTGCAATTCTACCCATCAGTTCTTTAGTCCATGGGAGAGTCTCATTCCTTTTCTAAATATTGACACTTCAAATCTTTCCCCTTTTCATGAACTAACTCTCATGCTTAGAATAAAGAAGTTTCCAACTGCCACTGCCTAGAACCTTGCTGTTTCTTCTTTCTTTCTTTCTTTCTTTTTTTTTTTTTTTTTTTTTTTTTTTTTTGGTGTCCCTTGACAGAGAAAGCTTTAAACCCTCAAATAAGGACTTTTATTCGGGCTTGTAACGTGGCTTGGGGTTAGGTTATGATGAAAAAAAAAAGGATAAAGGCTCAAACCATATATTCCCCTAACATCTCTCTCTTCACTTCCTCGGTCATTAATGTGGGTTAATAGAAAGAAAATCATTCTGGCTTTTGTAAAATTTGAATGGTTACCTTTTTTGACTCAAAAGGGGGTAAGCGAAAGGGCAATGTTCAACTATTTAGGGTAGAGAAACAGGGCCTTTCATCACTGGATTTTCAACCTTCCAAGTCAAGGAAACATTTAATTCATTAGGCTGCCTTTTCGGGTTTTCAACCTAATTTTTTTTTTTTTTAGCAATTATACATTTTGATAGCATCGGCATTCACTGGGTGATGATAATTAGTTTCATCTGGATATCTCAACAAGAGTGCTCCTCTGGAGAAAGCTTCTTTAACAACATAGGCCCTTCAGAATTCGGTGCAAATTTGCCCTTAGGATCCCTTTCATTAGGCATGATCTTTCTAAGATGAGATCTCCTTGATGAAATACTCTAGGTTTGACTTTCTTGTTGTAAGCTGCTACCATTCGTCGCTGATAGCATTGACCATGACAAAGAGCTGCCAATCTCTTCTCGTCAAGCAAGTTGAGGTAATCTATCCTTTTCTGAATCAAGTCTTCTTCATCAATCCCTGACTCAGATAAAATTCTCATGGAAGGAATTTCTAGCTCAATTGGTAGTACTGCCTCCATTCCATATACCAAGGAATAATGGGTTGCCTCAGTTGAAGTGCGAACAGAGGTTCTATAAGCATGGAGAGCATATGGCAATATTTCATGCCAATCTTTATAAGTAACTATCATTTTGGCTAGAATCTTCTTGATATTCTTGTTGGCAGCTTCCACCACACCATTCATGTTTGGTTGGTATGGAGAATAGTTCAAATGCTTGATCTTGAATTGCTTGCATAGCGTAGTCATCATGTAATTGTTCAAATTGCTTGCATTATTAGTAACGATGGCCTCTGGTTGCCCATACCTGCAGATGATCTCTCTCTTGATGAAGCGAGTGACCTCCTTCTTTGTAACACTACCATAAGATGTTGCTTCTACCCATTTTGTAAAATAATCAATAGTAACCAAGATAACTTGATGACCATTGGAAGCTTTAGGATTAATTGCCCGAATCACATTGATGCTCCACATGGAGAATGGTCAAGGAGCAGACATATTATGCAATAATGAAGGTGGAGCATTAATATGATTAGCATAAATCTGACATTTGTGACAAGCTCGTGCATACTTGATACAGTCATGTTCCATGGTCAACCAATAATACCCAACCTGGAGAATTTTTCTAGCAAGCATTCTTCCATTTGCATGTGTTTCACATATCCCTTCATGGACCTCAGTCATGACTTGTTTTGCTTCTGTTTCATCTCAACAAGGTCATATCAGTAGAGCGCTTATACAATGTATTTCCGCTCAAGAAGTATGAAGCTGCCAATTTTCTGATTGTCTTCTTGTTCACCTCAGAAGCTTGTAGAGGGAATTCCCCATTTTGCAAGAATTGTTTAATATCATGAAACCATGGTTTGTCATCAACCTTGATTTCCATGCAATGTGCTGGTTCTTGACAAATTTCAATAATTAAAGGCTTGATTACATCATTATTGAAGATTTGGATCATGGAGGCTAAAGTTGCCAAAGCATTCGCGAATTGGTTCTTGGCACGGGGCATATGGTTTAAAGAGATGAATATGAATTTCTTGACTAGAGTTTCAAGGTATTGGTGATAAGGATTAAGTTTTGGATCCTTGGTTTGCCAATTGCCATTTGTTTGACATATGATTAGTGCTGAATCACCATATATCTCCAAATCTCGGACATTCATATCCAAAGCAGCATATATTCCTGCAATACAAGCTTTATATTCGACTATGTTGTTGGTACAAGCAAAATCAAGCTTTTTAGCAATAAGAAAATGATCACCCTTTGGGGATACCAACACGACTCCAAGGCCACAACCAAGCCGGTTAATAGCCCCATCAAAGAAGAGCTTCCAATTATCTAAATCAAATTCTACCTTCACTACCAAAATGTCCTCATCAAGAAAGTCCCAATCAATAGGCTCAAAATCCTCTGCCGCATGTTCAGTTAAATGATCTGCAATGGCTTGCCCTTTGATGGCTTTTTGTGTTGTGTAAACCATATCAAATTCGGAAAGCAGCATATGCCATGGAGAGATCTTTCTAGAAAGAGGTTTTTCAAAAATTAATTTTATGGGATCCATTCTTGAAAGTAGGTAAGTGGTGTTGGTTAACATGTAAGGGTGAAGTTTCTTGGATGTCTAGGCTAAGGCACAGCAAGTTTTTTCTAAGGGTGAGTATTTACTCTCACAATCATTGAACTTCTTGCTCACATAATAGATCGCTCTTTCTTTCTTACCTAAGTCGTTGTGTTGGACAAGGACGGCTTCGATGGATTCTTCAAGGAAAGTGATATACAGGATGAAAGGCCTTTTATCAGTTGGTGGCACAAGGATCAGTGGGTTTTTGAGGTATTCTTTGATTTTGTCAAAGGCTTGTTGACATTAGTCATTCTAGGTATGAGGATTGTCTTTTCTGAGGAGTTTGAAGATAGGCTCACAAATGGTGGTGAGGTTGGCAATGAAAAGGGCAATGTAATGAATTCTTCCCACGAAACTTCAGACTTCTTTTTGGGTTTTTGGTGGTGGCATTTCATCAATGGCTTTTATTTTGGCTGGATCAATCTCTATTCCTCAGCGGCTCACAATGAAGCCAAGTAGCTTTCCAGAATCCACATCAAAAGTACATTTGGCAGGATTAAGTCTCAATTGGTATTTTCTAAGGCGTTTAAACACCTTCTTGAGATTTTTTGTATGTAGCACCTCTTCTTTGGACATAATCACCATGTCATCAACATATAGCTCAACAATTGTATGCACAAAGTCATGTAGTAAAGTAATCACAGAGCGTTGGTATGTTGCCCCGGCATTTTTGAGTCCAAAAGGCATAACTTTATAGCAAAAGGTACCCCATTGAGTGATGAATGTAGTCTTGAGCTTATCTTCCTCCATTTTTATCTGATTGTACCTAGAGTAGCTATCAACAAAAGAAAACCGAGCATTTTTGGTAGCATTATCCAGCAGAATTTGGATGTGAGGTAATGGGAAATCATCCTTGGGGATTGCTTTGTTCAAGTTTCTATAATCCATACAGACTCTAACTCGGCCATCCTTTTTCATTACAGGAACAATATTGGCCACCCATCCCAGATACATAGCTACTTCAATGAAATTAACATCTAGCAGCTTTTGCACTTCTTCTTTGACCTTCAACAGAACCTTTAGCTTTATCCTCCTTAGCTTTTGCTTGACTGGCTTGGCCTCAGAATAGAGTGGAATGGAATGAACAGCAATATCAGGATCAAGTCCCGGCATGTCTTTATAGGACCAAGCAAAAACATCTTGAAATTTAGCTAAGATCTCTATCAACTCTTTTCTATCCTCTATGGATAGATGGGCATTGATTTTTATCTCCTTTCTATCATCTTCAGTTCCCAAATTAATAGTCTCAGTCTCTTGATTTGGTTGTAGCTTTGGTTTTTCTTCTCTTAGCATTTGAGTTAGTTCATGAGAAGGATCAAAATTTTCATTGTCTTCTTCACTATAGGTCTGATCATCAATCTCATATATAAAGTCTGATATGGCATCATTGTTTAAAGATTCATCATCAGCAGGCCTAAAAATTTGGGATAGAAGTAAATAAATGGCCAAATAATAATAAAGCAAAGATAAAAACATGTTACTGGACAACCTCATAAAACACATCATTAAAGAGTGGCTTGCACAATGAAAGTTCAAGTAAAGTTGCATCATGTTGATTTTTACAATGATAGGATAGGATTGCAACATGTTTCATTGAAAAGGAAAGCATGGGAATACTAGAAGCATGATAACATAAATTTAAGAAAACATAAAAGTGCTTGCTCAATCCCTCCCTTCATGTAGTCACAAGCAGAACTACTAGAGGCTGACTTTTCTTACTCAGAGATGAAAGCTGCGGGGAGAAGTTCTGCTATCCAATTAGCCTGAGAGCTTCCATTAACCAAAGAAATTCCCCTATCAAATTCAAGTTCTTCCTCATCTAGAGCATTTATAGTCAAATTTCCCCACGAGTCACATAGTGATTCTTCTTTCATTGTTTCAAGGAGCACAAACTCATGTGATCCCATTGGAGCTTTCACATGATGAACAAGATGGAAGTTGGGGTGCTTCTCCTTAAATGCCTTTCAGCGAGCATCCTTCTCCACCTCTCCTTAGGATCTGTCATGTTGGCTGGCCCAATGAGGTTATTGAAACCAAAACTGTTTTCCTCGTCATCAAAACAAACTTCATCCGTGATATCTTCCACAACTACTTCCTCAAACTTTGCTTGTTTTGAACATTCCCCGATTTCAAGCAATCTATCAGTGAAAATAGTACCCTCTGGATCTACATATAAAACATCCATGTGCTTCACCACATATCCATCAAGAGAAAGGCACAAAATCTCAACAAGTTGTGGAAATGTGACTCTAATGTGCGGCACCCACATTGGTTCATCCCTTGAAGTCTAACAAGGTGCTTCTCTGCTTTAATAGCATGCATTCTCTGCCAATCTTCCTTCTTTGGCTTGTATCCCAAGCCAAAAGTGCCCCAAGCTTGAATTACCTTAATAGGCTCAAGAATTCCTTGTCCATTCAATCCTAAACCCTCTCCTAATTGGTAATGACATGAAAGCATGATCTTAGCAGCAACCCTGGCAGGTTTTGCCATTTTAACCTGTTTTCCTCTTAACTTTGGATGTATATAAGAAGTAGCAGCACACTCCATTGAGTGATAAGAGGATTCATAAGTTCCAAGATTAATTCCCAAGTAAGGAATGGTTGTAGCCTTTCAGATGACGTGTTCCTCCTCGCCATTCACCTTGACAAGAACACCATTGACAATGTATTTGACTTTCTGATGCAAGGTGGATGGTACCACTCTGGCAACATGTATCCAAGGCCTCCCAAGAAGCATATTAAAAATAGGAGAAATGTCCATAACAAAGAAATCCACATCAAAAGTCACAGGGCCAATTTCCACTAGAAGCTCAATCTTTCCAACAACATTCCTCTTTGTTCCATCAAAAGCACAAACCACTGTATTGCACTGATTAATGTGAGACTCATCCACTTTCAACTGCTTCAAAACAGTCATAGGAATCGCATTCAAAGCTGACCCATTGTCGATCAACACATGAGGCACATTCACATCTTGCACCGAACATAAATGTGAATAGCCCTGGTATGCCCATTTCCTTCATCGAGAATCTCATCATCAGTGAAATTAATATAATTTGGAGCTAAAATTGCCCAACCACAGTCCTAACATTTTGAGTATCAATGTTCTTAGGCACATGGGCCTCTTTCAAGACTTTGAGCAATGCGGCAAGATGAATCTCAGAAGACAACAACAATTCTAAAACAAAAATTTTTGCAGGGGTTTTGTTGAGCTGTTCAATGATGCTATACTCACTCTTCCTCAAAATATTCAAAAATTCTACAACTTCATTTTCTAACACTAGCTTCTTGGGTGATTCTTCTGGCATCTCTTCAATTCTGATATCTTTTGATTTTAAGGCAGCCTTTCTCAATTCTTCCACTTGGGGAATCACATAGCATCGACCACTATGGGTCATGTTGGACACATCATTAGTTGTAGAGCTCAAGATGATGGGGCGTTGCGGCATAACCTTAAGTGAGTAAGGGAAATGGCTATTGGCCACAGATGATGTCTTTCCCATGAATGACTCACTAAGAGAGGTCTGCAAGACATAAGGCTGTTGGAAATTTTGACTGATGGCTGGTGCCCTTTTAGTATCTTGCAAAATGTAAGGCCTCTCTTTAGTGAAGTATTCTTTTGTCACTGGTGCTATGAATTTCTCTAACTCTGGAGTAGACATAAACTTCAAAGATCCCATTCTCTGTAGCTTTATAATTTTTCTTTGAAAATCTCCACAATTTTGCAAAGTATGCCCCTTCATATTGGAGTGATAAAGACACACCAAAGCATCATCAATTGTCACTGGCGAAACATTCGAGCTCATTGATGCAATTGGCTGAATAAGATCATACTCTATTAAAATGGCAAATAATTCATCAAGAGACCATGAACCAACATTCTCCAATATGGGTCTATCAACCTCATCAAGGGTACTCATATTCATGGTGGGTTCACCATGTGGAGGTAAAGGATTTTGAGTGATGCTTGGAGCACTCTTAGTTTCATCAAGTTGGAGTTTTCCTTCATCGATGAGATCTTGAATTTTATGTTTCAGAGCTGTACAATATTCGGTACCATGACCTGTTACATTATGATATTCACATTTAGCTTGTGGATCATACCCGTAAGAATAAGATGGTTGCACAAGGTTTGCTTGCACTGTCTGCGTTAAACCCACTGCCACTAACTGTTTCAGCACCTCACTATAAGGGATTGGAAGCTTGGTGAACTGTCTCGACCTATTTGTCGAGGGGAATTAGTGTCTAACTGAAGCATGAGCATCGAAGTTTGGCCTCCTTTGAGGGTAAGTGGTAGACTTGAAGATCGGAGTGTGCTGTAATTGAGGCTGTTGATTGTAAGGAACATTTGCCATACTATAGATTGGCTTGGCATGACTAGTGAAAATATGATTCAAAGCTTCCTCATCTTCCTTCTTCCCTTTAGGTGAGAACCTCTTCGAAGTAGATCCCAAGCTTCCCATCTTAACTTGCTCTAACTACCTTTGGATAATTTGAAAGTCCATAATAATACCTGCCTTTAGTCCCTCCTCAATCTGTTCACTCGCTGTCACTAGCTGAGCAAAAGTATATCCGACATAAGGAGCTAGCCATGCACGGGAAGTCCTAGTAGTTGACTTGTTAAAAAGAGAGCAAATTTCACTATCGATAAAAGGTGGAATGACTTTGGCTGCTTTGGATCTCCACCTTTGAGCAAATTCTTTGAAAGTCTCATTACTCTTCTTGGTGAATTTTCTGCAAGCTATCTCTTGTAGGGGCCAAACTCATATTATACTCATATTGCTTCATGAAAGCTTAAGACACATCTTTGAAAGTGCGAATCTTCTTATTGTCAAGTGTTGAAAACCAAACATTTGCTGGGCCTCAGAGACTGTCTTGAAAGTAATGAATGAGCACCCTCTCATCATTGGCATAAGGAGCCATTTTCCTGGCATACATTTGCAGGTGGGCATAAGGACAACCTGAACCATCATACTTGTCAAAATCTGGCTGCTTGAACTTGAAATTTGTCTGAATTCCCAGATAGTAGTAGAGATTATTCAAATCAATGGAACCATAGGCTTGCGGCCCTTGCATGGCCTCTAAAGCCTCTTCTAACTGTTGCAGCTTGTGATCAACCTTTCTTGACTTCCCATCTTCTACAGTAGGCCTTAACATCTCAACCGAGGGGTTGGGTTGAATGGCTGGCACTTGTCCCATCAAAGGTGGTATGTTAAGGATAAGAGGTGTGGTTGTGGGCAAGGTAAGGTTGTTTATCTCGAATGGTGGGTATGAGGCTTCAAAGGGCAGAGATGATATTTGTAGAGCATGTGAAGATGACTTCCCCACTAGAGGATGATTCTCATAAATAGGTGGAAATTGCAATTGTGTGACCATGGGATCCTTAGCATAATTACCTGGTGTGATGGTAGGGACAGGTGGAACTGGTATTGTGGGTATTAAGGACGCAGGTGAAGGAACCGAACCAGTAGTCAAAGTGGACAAAGTGAGATTGATGGTCTGAAGAATAGCAGCCATAGTTTGCATTGTAGCTTCCAACTTATTAACCCTTTCATCCATGGTTGATTTCTCTGGATCAGTAGCAGCATTTTCCTCAGACATTTTGATTACTCTAGATCTAAGCAAATATGGAGAACGTTGCTTTTTGAAGACTCTTCACCTTGGAGATATGATTAGAAGAATTTTCACCTAAAAACAAAAACGTAAAGACAAAATGGAAAAATTAGAAAACTAAAGAGATTTTAGCCCTTTTTTATTGGACCATTAGTTTCCCTTTCGAAGTTCCATATGGATTCTCACATCGACATTTCCATCTTGTACGAAGATATCCACCCATTTTACAATGAGTTGTGCTAAAACATGGCTTTTCATTACTAAATAACTGCACTTTAAACAAAGTTAACAAGCAGTACAAAGCTGCATTCAAAGTGCTTACATGCTCATTCTTTTAAAGCTAAAACAAACTCATTACAAAACATAAACCCTAATACAGCCTTTTAAGCACATTAGACATGTCAATGATAAAGTCGAAGACTGGTTGGAAAAATCCCCTCTCAATTGGATGGGTTCTTTGAGCAATGTGATGATGAGTCTCGACCATCTTTCCCTCGAATTGAGTCACCAAGGCGGTTATGTCGATGACGACTTCATGCAAGCTGGTGTCTTCTTCAACAAGAGCCTGGTTCTTTTGCTTCTCAACTTGGAGTTGATAGCACATGTCCTCCATGGCAATCTTGTAAAGATTACAGTTGATGGTCATGTCTTGTAGTTGCTCTCCCAATTGCTCATTGGCTTTGCGAAGGTGTTCATTGTCCTTAGTCAATTGGTGCAGATAAGAGATGGTTTCTTCATTGAGTCTTTGAGCACGGGCAGAAAACTCCAACAAAGCCTTGTGTGTAGAAGATTGTGTCTTGGATGTGTGAGAATCCATATTTCTTTTCAAAGGTCACAGATGGTTCAATCAAAAAGGCTTGAGAACTAAACACAAAGTGGCAAAAATAAAGATATTAATAAGAGAATAATCAAAGATCGTAGCTAATGACATGTATAATAAAATGCAAATGTGATATAAAGCTTGAGAATTAAAATTTTTGTCCTAATCATGGATTTTACTTCATCGGATATACTTTTGACAAGGAAGAAAGATTGTATTCATTCAAGCAAGTTTTCATTGACAAATCTGAATGTTTGTACAATAGCTCCCAAGT